CCGAGCTCGGGCCGCGGCCCTCGCGTCTGTTCGTCGGGACGAAACCTGACTCCATGCAAAGATCAACGGATGCTGCAGAAGAAGGTCGCGACCAGCTTTCTTTCTCCGTCTCTTCACCGTATCATCAACCTCAACGCGGTGTCGGGCACCCATTGGGAATATAGAGAGACGGTGAAAGGAGGTTGACGCGCACCACACGCACTAGCGCAATTAATCAAAAAGAAAGGGGGACGGGGAGGACTGGTGCATTCATGCCCTCGTGCAAGCAATCAACACTCCATACTTTCGCTCATCAGGCCCAGAGGGGCGCACACACACACGCATACCCATAGAGCCTTCAATGAAACATTCTACGTCCATAGACTTTATACCGCACATGCATAACAGATTACCCAACCTTTGGAGTCGTGCACACATCACACGGGGACAAAGCAGCAATGGAGAAAAGCTTCTTCTTCAAAATACAGAAGTCTCTCAACTGGCCGCTCCGGGCTCAGTTCCCAATCCGTAAAAAACACCGGCAACCATAGCCCCCAGGCCCTGCCGCTGTTGGCGTCTGATCCTCCACCACCGCTCAGTCCCTCCGACTCCCTTACCCCAAGTCTACCGCTAACTCTGCCACCCGCCGTCACTCCGCCCACCACGGGGCTCGTCGAGCCTTTTCGACGCCTTGCAGCCGAGATCAAACAGAGTGAGAGGAAGGGGTTGCGGGAATTTATAGCGTGGAAGGTGGCAGAGAGGCTGCGCCAAGCACGGGGTGTAGAGGGTCAGGACAGAAGAAGGGCAGACGTTTCAGAAGGGTCGAAGAAGGCGAATCGAATGTTCCGCGTGATTGGGGTTGTCGTCCAAGTGGGGTGCGCTTTCCGCGGCCACCATATTGCCTCGACCATCCCAATCAGACAGCCAATCATTTGCAGGGAAAGGAGAAGGAGGGGATCGAACTCCGCTGGGAGGGAAGACGAAGAGACATGTAGGAGGGAGATGCACAGCAAAAAGGGAAGATGACGCGGGGATGCAGAGCGGGAGAACAGGTTTACGCGGCGCGCAAAAATTCAAAAACCGCCGCGCTCTAAAAAATTCAAAATTCCTACTCCCGCTAAGTCCCAACTGTTTCTTGAATTTCTTCACGTGGCTGCTAACCGGCTACGCCAAACCCGAATTACATTGTCTATTCCGCCCCCACTCCCCTTAAACAAAAAGGAAAAAGAAAAAGAAAAATGAAACACCGCTTTCCCTTATTATCTTGAATCCGTACTTCGGGGCTCTTTGTGGGATTTTCCCTTAGGGGTACGGGAAACCGCGGAGTGCTGATCCTGGCTCATCACAAGCGTGCACGTGCGCACGGACAAGGCATAGATGGGGGGGGGGGGGGGGGGGGGGTCGCACGCATGTGTCTCAGGGTCCCGACAGACACACACACACACACACACACACACACACACACACGCTAGCGCACATGTTTTTTTTTCAATTGATTGATTGATCCGCAGCGCTCCGCAACACGGCCAAGATCTCGGCGGCCGGCCGGGATAGACACCACGGCCGAGGCCGCAGGTGATACATAGCATATATGGGCTTCATGCAAAAATGCCAGGGATGTTTGGGCACATCTTAACGTGCACTTGGTCAACTGCATCTATCTTACTAGGCACAGTATTGAGGCTCTCGAAGCCGTGGGCGTATGTCACTCAGAGAAATGAAGTGATGCTGTCCAATGAATTGCCCTCGTCACAGCAAGTGCTCAACAGGATTCAAAAGGACTTGCGCGCTATCGTCTATCTAGACTAGAAACAGTGGCTCGGAAAGCAGCGACTCGAAAAGCCGATGAGCCTGCGAGCTGGCGTGTTATGGTTTCAGAAGCATTGGGAGTCTCGGGTGTATCCTTCTTCGGTATACTTTCCCGTGCGCTTCGCGCCTAACCCAAGAGACTTGATTTTGTGCCTTCCATTTCACGGCATGAATTTGGGTGCTTAGGAGAGATATCCCATTATGACTTTTTGTGCTTCGCACTTGCTGATTAAGCTCCAGTTTAAGCTCTTCAGATAAGAATTGAGTCACCAACCTTTTGATCTCAACAGCATCTGCTCTGGATCCTGCTGTTATGATAATAAAAAAATCATCAGCATATCTTACATAGAAGAGTCTTTTGAGACCCGGATCCATTGGATCTGATGAAGTCTTCCATAGGGTTCGCCGCCCCTCGTTGGTCACTATTGATACCAGTGATACGTGCACTGGAGACTTCCGGTTTGGACCTTTCTTGCAGACATCTGCATAATGGGGATAACTCACAGGGGACTCAGCAGCGGATCATCATTCACGCTCTCTGTGTTGTACTTTGTCAGTGTTCATTTTTAGTGACCTCTTTTCTAATCTTTTTTTTTTTTTTTTGGTAGATAGTCTCCCTGTATTAATAGTATTGACGTAGGCATTATATTGCTGTCGGTATTACTTTAGACTTTTACCACTTGCAGTTGAATTTGGAAGTTTCACATTTATTTTCTTGACTACCTTACGTTTGAGCCTGTAGAGGCCCTTTGGCTACAGGGGAGGGGCTCCACCTCACAGAGAAGGATTGGAGACCTTGCGGCCTGAGAATCTGGAATTATTTTCACTTTATGATTGCCTTGAGCACTGGGCCCTAATAGATGGAGAAAGATTTGGAGGAAAAAAAAGAGAAAAGAAAAGAAAGTCAAAGACAACACAACAAGTCGACACAGTCGCACTGAGCTAATTGTTTTTTTTTTTTTTTTTTTTTCACACTGAGCTAATTGTAGCTGGCTGTGCAAATCATCAGTCAGTTGAAGATGTTCACAACATATACGAAGACATATGTATAGGTCCTCTTTCGGGACATCTGTTAAAATTGGAACGATAGTTACGATACAGAGAAGATTGATTAGCAAGGGGACCCAAGAGCCTAGCTCAGTGGGTACACCCATGAGCTGTTGAAATAAAGGCCCCAGTTCCAATCCAGGGGCGAGGTCCCATTAGCAGTTGGACAAGAGTGTGGCCGATCCAGTGTGACACTCAGTGGCAGCGGGGTGACAGGTTCATTACGAATGTCTGGGCTGAGAAAACAGGAGAAAGGCAAAAAAAAAAAAAGAAACAGAGACCTCCCACCSGAAATCACGGCAGAGTGCTTCCCAGCCATCAGATCACAAATGATCTGATGGTGGTGGTTGCAACAACAGTGAACAAAGTAACCGCCACATTTTCTGGAATAAACTTGACTTTTGTCAGCACTGATCCTGACACCCTCCATATACTCCGTGATTGAAGGAGGGCTCCACCCAATGAGATAATTGCACAACAGCAAGTAAAATACTGAAAATCTTCTATCCAGAGGGCCTAAGGCCGACCCCACCCTCCTTTGGGGTTGGCCACACCCCCAACTGATTGAAAAGATTCTGGCGGGAAGCTTTCTTTGCACGGGCATGCCCAGTGTTAAGGAGAGGAGGAGGGGAACAAAGAAAGTAGTACATGTAAAATACTGACCGTGGGATCACGAGTACCGCACGGCAGGATCTGGGTCACTCAACTGCCCCACAAACTCGTTTCTATCCTATCCCGTTGCTAGTGGGTTTGTGGGGCAGTTGAGTGACCCAGATCCTGCCGTGCAGTACTCGTGATCCCACGGTCAGTATTTTACATGTATTACCCGAAAAAGTAAGGAGATCTTCGTTCCCCTCCTCCTCTCCTTAACACTGGCATGCCCATGCAAAGAAAGCTTCCCGCCAGAATCTTTTCAATCTTTTCAATCCGTTGGGGGTGTGGCCGACCCCACCAGCCCCAAAAGAGGGTGGGGTCGGCCATAGGCCCACTGGATAGAAGGTTTTCATTATTTTGCTTGCTGTTGTGCAATTATCTCATTGGGTGGAGCCCTCCTTCAATCAAGGAGTATATGGAGGGTGTCAGGATCACTGCTGACAGAAGTAGAGTTGATTCTAGAAAATGTGGCGGTTACTTTGTTCACTGTTGTTGCAACCACCACCATCAGATCATTTGTGATCTGATGGCTGGGAAGCACTCTGCCGTGATTTCCGGTGAGAGGTCTCTGTTTCTTTTTTTTTTTTGCATTTCTCCCGTTTTCTCAGCCCTGAAATTCGTAATGAACCTGTCAGCCCTCTGCCACTCAGTGTCACACTGGATCCGCTACACTCCTATCCGACTGCTAATGGGACCTCGCCCCAGATGATGGATGGTAGATGATGGATGGTAGATGATGGGTAAGACCAAATATATCGGAATTGCCTGGGACCGGTCAGCTCAATGATGATATCTCAAGGCCGTCTCCCTTCTGAAAAAAAGGGAAGAAGAGAAAACGAGAGAAGAGTTGAAAATAAAAAATTAAAATAATAATACTAATAATTAGCAAGGAGAAAAAAAAAGGCAAAATTTGTCTGGGGCCCCTGTATTTTCCATTATTTTGTGTCGCGCCCCTCCAATGGCCCACTTACCTTGTCGTGCCCCTCTGACCACGATTCAAATTTCCCATAAAACCCCCACATCGGCTGGGCCTGAAATATTTTTGTTATGCCCCTACCAGTACCCGTTCCAAATTTGCAGTATGCCCCTACTGGATAGCTGCTGAGTACCATATGCCCCTCCCCATAGGGTGCATGTTTTCAGCGCACCTCTATGCCTAGGCGCATGGCAGCCACTTCATTCTCTCTCTCTACAGAAACAAGGTGCTTTAAATCCGGATTCCTGGCGCCAGAGCATGATGGAAACATGTATTCCGCTCATGAGGGCATATCGGGCCCTTCCAGTAAGGGCACCGTGGAAAGTTGCGCCCCTTGCTGACAGGCACATGCATGAAAGTTCAGAGGCCCCAAGGGCACAACAGGGTAAGTGGGCCGTCGGAGGGACACCACTCAAAATAATGGAAATTACAGGGGCGCCAGGCAAATTTCCGCAAAACAAAAACATATGCAGAGCAACAGCGTGAAATGAAAAAAGAAAGAAAGAAAGAAACGAACAGGATCGTGGACGCGTCCCACCGGGATTGCCGAAGCAATCCACTTTCCCTTTCCCGAAAGCCCTTCGGACATGACGGTAGCCCGCCGCGTCAGTCCCTTAGGACATGACGGGATCCCGCCGCGTCAGTCCCTTAGGACATAGCCACGATGAACCATCGCACAGCATACATCTTTCTGTTCGCTTACCTACGGTGAGGGATCTGATCTTGATTTTCTCCGAGGGCATCCCGAAACGTATTCCGTATTGATCCCATCCACTCTTAATGCTGATGGCATCGTCGCCGGTGCTGATGTGGCAATCCTCCACAATGACACGTCGGCAAGAATCTGACAAGATCCGGACGCATATCACCACAAGAAAAAAAAGAAAAGAAAAAGAAGAACAAAAAGAACTCACTGTCAGTGATAAACCCGGGGACAGAAAGCAGGAATTATTTTCTTCACTCTGAATTATAACCTCGTATTGCAAGTTGCCAACCATCATCACACACACACACACACAGAGAGAGAGAGAGAGAGAGAGAGAGAGAGAGAGAGAGAGAGAGAGAGAGAGAGAGAGAGAGAGA